CCTCCACTGATTTTTTTTTTTTTTTTTTAGTTTAAGATGGAGCAGATAGAAATTTGGACAGGCTCTGAAGAGTCTGCTGTTCTACTCTACTACAACAGAGAACATTCCTGGAATACCTGTCATGCTTGTTTCTTGACCTTGCCTACCTTGAAGGGCTGACATCAACCTTGAAAGCATGCCCAGGTTTCTCTCTGTCCTATCCTATACTAAGTCAGATAAAGTTTTGAGTTTCCTTCTTAATGGCTCTCTCATTCCTCCCCCATTCCCAAATAAGTTCTACATTCCTTCACAGAAACAGTTCTAAAATTGTGGAAGCATCTATGTGATGAGTCTTCAGGCAGGTCCATCTTTGCCCTACCTGCTTTGCATAGATCTCCTGACTTTTTCTAAACCACTAAAGCATCAAAGGCAAAACATACTAGAAGGAGCTTTTGAAACAAGTTCTTTGCTTTCTAGAAAAGAAGAGGTCCCCAAAGGTCAAGCTTCTCCATGACTGGAAAGAACGGAGGAATGCCATTCATCTCACAAACGAGTACACAGTGGAAACGCTTGTGGTGGCAGATGCTGACATGGTCCAATATCATGGGGTTGATGCTGCTCAGAGATTCATCCTGACTGTCATGAACATGGTAGGTGAACACCATGTGGATTTGTCTCTCTACCCCACCCTTCAGAAAAAAAGTAATACATTTCGTGATCATGAATATTTATTTATTTAGCAACTCACACACAGTGACTCCGGGTGCCCAACTCACACACACGATGACTTCAAATATATTTTGAAAAGCCGTCTAAATTTAAGTTTATCAAAACCATTAAGCGTTCGGATAGGAAATCTCTATGCAGATGAAACATGGAGGAATCCCAATGCCTGCAGGGAAACCTGTGTACCATTTTGTGCTATACAGAGACATGCCCAGATTGCATGCATTGTAGACACCCATAGGTGTTGCACAGCACATCCAGGGGGGAACATTGTCTCTGAGTCATCTGTTTATTGTGAGGTTCAAATGGATAGCCAACTTTCCGCTTCTATACCTTGAGGTGCAGAACTATAATTGCCTCTCCATGCCCCTCTCAAATTAATACTCTTCTCCATTAATAAAGTCATGTTTAGATAATTCTCTCATAGATGAGGAATTGCAGGATGTGCTTACTTGAGGAAGAGATATAGGTCTGTATCAGTCCCTTTCCCCACATACCGGGGAAACAGATTATTATTCTTTTTTTTTTAATCAATGATCCCATATTTATAAATGTCCAAAACTGTTATCAGGTCCCCCCCCACCCCCAAGAGGAACTGGGATTTCTTCCTGATATCTTATATGCATTTGTTCTGTATGTGATGAAAATGTAAAGAAAGTCGATGAAGACACAAAAGCTTCCTTGATGATTTAAAACTAGCCCAGTGCAAATACTTGTAGTTGAGGGTGAGCATCATCTTGTTTTGATGTGGAAGAGTAGAAATCTTTCAACCGTGGGTTATGACTTAGCATGTACAATCCAGCCAGTTGTGGATGATTCAGCCAAATAGGCCTTAGTGTGATGTGGGAAATCTTGACATTGAGTTCTGGAGGCCTTCAGATGGGAACTTTATGAAAAAGGCTCCAAACGTTCTCCTTTTTGGGGGGCCAGTGTTGGGGGGCCAGTTCAGTTCTAAACTCAGTGGCATCCCCATGTTCACTGACCCATCCAGATCCGTGACTGCTGTTTACTTCCATGAAGAAACATAAAGCAACAATTGTGGTTAGTTTTGTTCTGGTCCTACAGAAATCACTTAGGGGGAGAGAGAGCTCTCTGGATGAAATGGATTACTATTCTGTAGAATGGTGGCAATTGCTGGACTGTAGCACTGCTACCTACTACTGTAATATTGTCTACTTTGCTGGTGTAAAATGGCTAAACTGGAACATAGTGTTGAATTATGGGTAGTCCGCGAACACAAAGATACATTTCCAGCTGGACAACATAGCAATATGCTGGGCTGCTATGTAGCAACCTGCAAATTTTGGCTTTGAATGTTCAACTCCTTCTCTCAGCTGGTCTGGGGGGGATGAACAGCTGCTTCTAAAAGAAACCAGAATGTTAATTTTGGCATGCATGTCAAGATTTAAGCAAATAGAGCATTGCTGTCAGGGAGAAGGGGGCTATTTATTAATTTAGGTCCTTGCTGTAAGGCATTTCATTTACTGTTAAACCACAAAGTAAGACTTAAAATGGCTTATTAGTACGCACATTATGCTTCCGTTTTTTAAAAAAGTTGGATCTTCTTAAAGCAATTTAATATCTTTTTGTTGAGAGAAAAAATTTACAAAATACTTATTAAAATCGCTTGCAGCTCCTGAATGAGGCTATGAATTTAAAAGAAAAAGATGCAACTGTAAATGAAGCAAATCCCCCTTTAAAAGGCTCAATAACTACTTTTAATGCTTTGATTCCTGTCCTCTAAACTAGCATGAAATGATAAGTCATATTCTTATATTTATGCTTCAGAATATCTTCTGCAGAAGTGTGAGTGTTTACGCAAGATGAAGAAATAAGTGCTGGTAATAAATATTAGCTAGAAGGAATAGCTAATATTTTGAAGGAATAGGTTCTATGTGTTTAGAAGAATGATACAACGCACCCTACTTAAGACCATATTATTTCAGAAAAGAAAATGAAGAATCACACAATAGTAAAACTCCCTACTTGTAGAAAGCTTGCAGTAAAAAGAAAATCTTGTTTTCCTAATCTTCTGTGGCTTGGTTCAGACATTGGGCTAAGTCATTGTTTGATTTTTGGTTAGTAGGGGAATAGACATAGTTATTGTGGGTCTTACGTTTAATATCTGACTTACTGAGTCTATGGTTTATTGAGTCGTATAAACTCAGCCATCTGGGTTTAAATGAATCATGAATTACCATGATGTGTAAACCATTCTATGCTCTTTTTTTTTTTTTTTTTTACTGTTTAACATACATCACTCAGGCAATTCTGCCTGATATTAACCAGGGAGTAGGTCTCATTGAACTCAGTGGAGTTTACTTTTGAGTAGACATGCATACGATGGAACTGTACATTATGTAATGCATGAGTTCCCAATCTTTTTTGGATTGATGAGATGCGTCAGGAATTTTACAACCATGGGAATTTGGGGTCCAAATATTACTTAATTATGCCATTTCTATTCCATTTTTTCATTAGTAAAAACAACACCAACCAGAGTACTGTTTATTAAAAAGTTTAACAGCATTTTGAAAACAGTTAAAAAACATATTAAAACACCTTGAAACAGATTTTTAAAAAATGAAATAACATTTTAAAAAAGTTTTTCAACAGTGAGCAGACCAGAAAGGCAGAGTGCTTCCAATTTAACGAAAGATTTGAATCAATGCATAAGAATCCAGCTTCAAATGGTGAGCGCAGACCACAATTAAGCAGGGAGAAAATTCTACAACTGACCTGCTTGTATTTAAAAATGTCCTTCCTCAGGTTGCCATGCAGAAAATCTCCAGCAGATGCAACACCCTTAAAGGGGTATCACATATAAGCTGCTGTGATAGTCTTCCCAGAGTCTCAGAGAAAGTGATGATAAGACAGTGCTGGGTGGCTTTAAAAGATGAAATGCCAGCTGGAATTATGCAGTGGTAACTTTAATAACTTGGTGCTCTTATCCATTCACACCTTTCTAATCCCATTTAATTAACTTCCCTTCATTGTTTATATTAAACTGTGAACTGCTTAAGACAAGATTCTATCATTTTGACCTATGTTAATCGTGAAAGCTTCCTAGGCATTGATGCCCTTGAATACATACAAATAAACAATAAAGCCACATATTATTTCAGTCATATCCATTTTAAAGTCCTTTCCCCTTGCAGATCCGTTTTAAAATGCTAGCGGGGATGTGCTGGATTTGCATGGAAGAGGGTCTGACTCTCTCTCTCCAAATGTTAAATGGTACCGGAAGGAATCATTTCAAAAATGAAGATCAGTATGTTTGAATGAAAATCACATTTACTCCCCAGACTTTTCTTCCTATTTGAAATATGTGTTCGTTGAAAGGCAGGCTTAGCAGAATGCTTTAGGATTCAGAAGGACACTACAAAGAGAAACCTAGCTTTATTCCAAAAGATAAACTTCCTCTCTTTTTCTCTTTTTTTATATAATGTTCAAGGGATCACTAATTTCATGTTACTGCTTGCTGCTTCAAGAGACTCCTAAATTAATTATATGGTTTAACAGCAGCTGTAGCAGTACTAAGAATATACATTTACAATTACTTGTCAGTTTGTGGTCTTTTGAGAAATAGATGCAAGTTCATTTTAAAACCAAAAAGAAAGTATGTCTGATGCATCTATTTTAAAAGCAATTTTAGATGTATTTTTTACATTACTATTCAGTGGGTTTGGATTTGAATCTTCACATCCTGCAAAGAGGTTAGAGGACCGCTCTTAAATTGTAGACTACTTCTATCATTAAACATATTTCAGTAGTTGACTGGAGTTTGGTATAACCGAGTACAGCTAATTCATAGTTCGGATATAGACTTGCACAGCAAAGAGTACTGATGATTATTTTTGGGAAGATTACTTAAAAGGGAATGAGAAGCAGAGTACAAATCCTACAATTTAAATAGTTCCACTGCGTGTTCTTGGTTTCAAAAATTGGTTCTTCAAGTGGCCAAGATGACTGGATGAGATGGTATTGTCCCTGCAAGAATTTGTCAACTTGCACAATTCTGGGAAGAGGGTAGGTGATGCTCAGGAAAACATGGAGATCACTGCATTCTCCGGCTAACTGATAGAACATACTTGTATTCCTCTTTCTCCAAGCAATTAGCATTTCAAGGAATAGCTTTTAGAAGACCAGCTCCTTTGTGAACAGAGATTTACTCCATCAATAATACCTGTTGCATGGTTGTACCTCTTGTGCATGGTTGTGCAAGACAACATCCAGAGAAGCAGCATAGTTTTTAACGTATCATCCGTTTCTCAAAAGCATTTGAAACTTTTCCTAATTCCTGCTTGGATTCCTGTCTTCCTCACCAGCTCTATTCCATCTGCCAAGCTGTTTCTCTCTACTCTCTCGTAGCTGAATGTATTCGATAACCTGAATGTCCTCCCTAAGCTTTGAGTGCATTCCCCATGATAAAGTTGCCACTTACTTACTTACTTAATTAATTTATAGTTTTTATAGACCATCCATCTCAAAAGACTCCGGATGGCTACAATACGTTACAATATAAAAGCAACAATAGAAATAAAACAACATTGCAAAATCAACTGTATTAATGAATCAACCTTCCTCCAGGAGGACCACCAATAAAACTTAGCTGGGTTTGAAGGTCCACTGAAATAAGAACTCACCTTAAAGATTTTCTAAAACCATGACATTTGTTCACTTTTAGCATGATAGAAGGAGAAAATAATTAAATTTGTGGGGAATTAACATTTTAATTGTATCTACACCAACTTTAGTTTTTAACCACCTTCTTCTCCTAAGTTACATTTAGGTGTTGGACATGTCCTTCTAAGCTCAAGTGTCCCCTAAATCCAATCAGTGCTTATTATTCATTATTTCTTCTTAACTTTAATGCCTGTTAAAAAGATATTTGAAGGTAGCTGAATAATTGCCTCAGAAATGACCCACTTTCTGAATTGCAAAAATGCTCCTTCCAATCAGGAGTTTATTCTGTTTCCTAGAAGTAGCCACTAATTATGTATGTTCACTAATAAAACATTTTTGAAAGATAGACGTGTTCTAGTATAAATCACTTCATAAGTAAAGAATGAGAAATATAGTTCTGGGTTCATTAACTATCTGAGAGAGAGGAACTAACTAGGCTGGAATATACAATCTGGAGATAGCCATATAAACTAGTTTGGTAAGATACATTTATGCTTCCTAATGTAATATTTGTGCCGTATTTCTGTTCTGTATATAGCACTTGAAAAGCTCAAGGAAATTCCTTTCCTATTCTATTTCCTAAAATCCCACCCCACTTTCATTTTGCTTTTTGAAAGCAGTGATGTCCTCAACTGGTTTCTAAACTGGAGAGGCTACAGTCTTTGAAATAAGCTCCAAGAATTTAAAGTTGGACTTCGATTTCAATGCTCCCTTTGATTTTAGTTTCCGATCATCTATTTTCCCCAAGATGGGTCTTTTCTATTACAGTATTTTTTAATGCCTGTCTTATTTTATTTTAAACCTTGGAAGACCTGTTTCAAAAACATCTTTTAACTTTAAGAGGAGCTGACCATGGAATGTAATTATCTGCTTCTTCTTGATTTAAGGGACACACATTTACCATACATGATGCAATAGGACTAATAGAGAATTGGACTTGGAAACAAAGCCAGCTGGGTGACTTTGGGCCAGTCACTTTCCCTCAGCCCAACTCACCTCACAGGGTTGTTGTTGTGGGGAAAATAGGAGGAGGAAGGAGTATTAGTTATGTTCACCGCCTTGAGTTATTTCTAAAAATAATAATGGCGGGATTAAAAAAAATCTAGAAAAAACATCCTAACTGTATCCTGAAAAGTTAATATATTTTAAGCTACAGTTGAACAGTCTACCACACAAATATTAATGTGGCAAGAATAAGAAGTGCAGAATCTTTTAAGAAAGATTCAGACAAATTGGGAAAGATGCAAAGATCAGGGGTCTGGGAATAAGTCTTGTGAGGAGAGATTGAAGAAGCTGGATATCTTTAGTCTTGGGGAAAAATAGACCGAGAGAGAATGTGACAGCACTCTTCAAGTACCTGAAAAAGACACACAGAAAACAGTCATGACCTACTTTCTGTTGTCAAAAGAGTAGGTCACAACAAGGTGTTAAGTTACAGGAATGCAGTTCCAATTGAACAGTTAGAAAAACCTTCTGAATATAATAGTAGTTCAATAGTGGACCTGATTATTTAGGGAAGAAGTGGATTCCCCTCCTCAGATTTCAGGTAGAGACTGGATAGATGTTTGTTCAGGGTTTCTGCACTGAGCAGAAAGTTAGACTTGATAGTCTATATGTCCCCTCTCCTCTGATGGTTTTAAATTTATTAGGTTAAAACAAAGCAATCTTTCTCCCCTCTTAAGCAAAACTAGAGGGAGAATTACATATTACTTCAAGTGGCACAATGTCTCATTTGAAGTTCATCACAAAGGCCGTGCAGAACTTCAGATTTGAAGGCAAACATTTGGAATATGGGACCTGTTCATGTAGCACTTATCTGCCCCTTTAAGGAGTTCTAGAGAGATGCTATGTACAACCGCCTTACATGCCCCAAAGCTCCTTTTTTGGATTTGCAACCGAAGCACTGCCCAGCCATATTGACCACAATCTTTCAAAAACGACTACAGTTATAATGTAGACTATGATCTTCACATGGAGAGTTAGGAGCTGAAGATGTGTCACACATCTGCCTAAAATAGGTGGTCCTTTGAGCACAACCACTGTTTTAATTTATGAAAATAGGAATATGAGGGAATGAGATGAAAAGTATAACCTTGAAATTAAAAAATTAAAAGTGAGACTGGACTTAGGTGAGTCATGGGTCTGAAGAATTTGACAAGTATTTGAAACCTAAGTGAGATCTTATTTTAGTATAAATCTACTAAGTCACACTTTCAGACCTTCTTGTCTAAAATATTGGCCCTTTATATAAGGTTAATATAAGCATTAATGAGCTGATATGAGTTTTTTGACTATAAAAAGTGCTGTGTTAATTATTGCTTACCCTTTATTTATGGCCTCTGTTAGAGTATCTGTGCTATTTGCTGAAAAAAATAGGCAGAGAAGAAGGAAAGTCTTTCATTTTTTAAAAATTATTTTTGCTAAATTAATACCTTTCAGTGCTATGATATTATGATCTTTTTGTTTTTTATTGCTTTTATTTAGGTGTACAACATGTTTCAACACCAGAGTCTTGGAGTTAAAGTCAATGTCCGAGTGACTAAACTTGTCTTGCTTCGAAGACGTCCTGTAAGTTGCTTTCAAGCTTTGATCCAACTGTTGTAGTGGGGTAGTATTCTAAACATTGTTCCATTGTCAAACCCCTTGAATTACAGCTGAAAGTCCTGATTTCGTTCCCATCTGGGTGTGTTTCCTTTCAACTTCAATGTGGTGGTGTACAGAAGCCAAATGCCAAAACAGTTATCGTTGTTCCAATATTTCTGGTCCAGTGGTCATCCCACTGGATATTTCAAATAAGAGGAGAGGAGAGATGGACAGGTCCTATCATTAAGCATAGTTAGATAGTTACCTTCAATGGTAGAGGTTCATCCTGCACACTTCTTCAACACACACCTAGAGTGAAGGGATTACAGAACATGCCTTTGGTCATCCTTCACTGGAGCTTCAGTTCCCAAGCCAGCTGCTCTCAGAGAAGGTGAAGGAATAAAGAGAAGCATCGTGGCTGCTTCAGAGTACAGAATGTCTTGGACCAGTCATGGGGAGAGAAAACCCTAGAAAGGATCTGTCTGAGTTTAGTCCACTGGTGGGCTGGGATTGACGTTTTGTTCCCAGATTGGAAGTTTCATACCTTAGTGAATTTGTCGCACTATCAAAGGAAAGGATTTTTCAAGACAAACATTGGCAACTTTTCAGCAAATTTAGAAAAAGTTGCCAACGTTTGTCTTGAAAAATCCTTTCCTTTGATAGTCCCAGTCAATGGCAGATTCTAAAAAAAATCTAATTAGTAAAAAAAAAAAACACACCTGGTTGGAGTTTGGAGGAATCTTTCATAATAACATGTAGCAACTGGAGAACAAGCAAAAGTAGACAACCTAGTGGAGTATAGGCAGAGCCTTTAATAAGGCCATTGATCATTCTTGACATTGTATGAGTTTATTGGCTTTCAACTCCCAGTATTGGTTATTTGATAAAAAGTGATTATATTGGTTGAGTTGATAAAATGCAGCTGATGGGCAAACTTACCCTCTTAGTTCCCTGCACAAATGAAAAGAGAAGATGAATTCCATCTACTGAGACTGCATGTACTTTCAACTTCAGAATGCTCCTTTAGGTACTGTAGTGAACTTGTCTGAGCTCGTTCTTTAGTTCAACAAGCAAAAGCTTGATGACTTGATGTAAAAAATGCTTGTCCATAGTCTAGCAATGGCTGAAAGTGAGCTCCGCTGTCACTTTACCACATTAGTGGGTCTCACCTTTGTTTTTCTTCAATTCCTGTTTGGTTTTGTTTTTTTTTCCCTTGAAGGCCAAGTTGTCCATAGGTCACCATGGAGAGAGGTCTCTGGAGAGCTTTTGCCAGTGGCAAAATGAAGAGTTTGGTGGTGCAAAGTACCTTGGGAACAATCAGGTTCCTGGAGCACGAGATGACACTCCTCCAGTAGATGCTGCTGTCTTTGTTACAAGGTATAGACTGAATTCAGATTGATTGATCAATAGACATTCTACTGTGCTCCTATTGATCACTAGCAGAATTAGGTCTAGGATCTGAGGGGGCCATTGAACAAGATGCTGTCAGTAGCCAGCTCTTTAAAGCAGAGGGTCTCCAAAGAATGACTGGAATGTTTCAATTAAAATAGATTAAAGCACAAAATGCTCCATAAAACTGGACAACCCCCCCCCCATTAAAAGTGCATCACCCAATTAGCAGCAGAAATTAAGGGCCACGCAAATGAAAAGGTCTTTCTTAACCTTGAAAACAAATCATACGGCATCTTATCTGTTGAACTGGTTTAAGTTCTCTGATGAGGGTAATATCACTGATAAGACCCAGATCCTGTTAAATTTGAAGTTTAACTGTGAATGCCAAGGTGTATGGAACAGTAACACATAAGAGTTGTTTTATCTGTATTGCTGGGGGAGCACATAAAATAGGAGCACTTAGAAACCCAAACTGATCCATGCCTAAAATAGTAGGGCAATTTGATAAATGAGCAACAACTGAATAAAGGGCTAACCTCTTTCATTTGAAATGTTGGAGCAAAAATGGGGTTGGATGTTCTGAGTTCTCCCCAGCCTCAATGTGGAGGGCTGCTGTGAAGGCCTGAAATTGTATTCATTGCTCTCTCTTCATCCTGGGCTGATGTACCCAAGGATAAAGCCCTTCAAAATTTCAGAATCGGGTTGCAGCTAAGGTATCTGGCTGGTTGGAGAAGATGTGCAGAGTGGTTCAAACTCTAGGTAGGACTGATAAGTCTGCTTGCAGGGGCTGATGTATGCAGTGAAATTCCACATGTATTGGAATTGGTCAAGCAGGAAAAAGTGACAGAATGCTGTTCAAATAGGATGGCTTTAGAGGGAGATGCTAGTGATAACAGACATAGAAGGAACTACTTTGGATAAATGAGAAGATTAGCTTGTATTGTGAGAGAATTAGGCAGTGTACGAAGGGTGGACTTCAGCAAAACCACATCCACTGTGCAAAATAAGCTGGCACTGGATTGTCGCAACCCTTCCCTTCCTGCATATCCTCATTTCCCCCCATCCTGTTTCAACTTTCCTCTGCAAAAGGAGGAACAATCAGGAACAATTGTCAGTTGAACAATCTCCTGGCTCAGCTTTTTTGGTTCTTATGGCAGAGAAAAAGCAAAATCTGTGTTTTTTTGCTTAAGTGCTGTCTTTCAGCATGTGTATGTGTGTGTGTGTTTGGATGATCCCCAAATTATACAGATGGACCAGTGGCAAAGGATGCAGAAGCAGTGCTGTGTCCAGCTTGGAATGGCGAAGCCAAGAAAAAACAAGAGCTGGATTTTCAACATCAGATTTTTCTCTGTGCCTGTTTGTAACCAGAACCAGACTTTTTGCAGTCGGCCTCTAAAAAGCATTTCTTTTTATATCTGCGTGGAGCATTCTTTTCAGCAAAAAGGGAGCCAAGTTCTGCTCACCTTGGGAAACTTTCTCTTTGCCCTTTGGTTTCAGCTCGTGAAGGCTGCCTTAACCCTAGAATAGCAAATATTACTTGGTTCATACAACAGACTAAGCCAAAATCTAACAGCTACACGATGGCTTAGCAAAATGGGTGAACCTAGCCCTGACCTCCAAGCCTTTCTGCTGTAGAATGACCGGGTAGAGCCGAGTTTGGGAGCTGTGCGATTTAAGGTTGTAGATGAACTTTATCAATTTTATGCTCTCCCATAACCATAATGAAACATTCTTCATAGAGTAGTTTGTCTAGCAGTAATAGCTTTATTTATTATGTACATATTACTAAGCGTGGTTCAAACGAAGCAACAATTAACCCCAAAATATATTATAATCAGGTATAAGATCAAAACATAAAATAAGGTACCTATAAAAATTGTCATGCTAGAATAGCCTTGTAGTTTCTGGAATAATAATAATAATAATAATAATAATAATAATTATTATTATTATTATTATTATTATTTTACTTGAGGTGAGACTAGAATGGGAACAACCCCAGCTGCTGCACCTTAAGTAAAATAATGATTGGTTTAGAGTTTCCAGCATTTTCCTCTTAAGCGTCCTTTTGCCCTGCTACTTTACCAACTCCCAGATGGGCCCTTGGCATCAAAAGATGATTTTGGGCTCCTCCAGTCATAAATAGCTAATGCTTTTGTGCTATTTTATAGTATGGAGTCCTGGCATTAGGGGAGAGAATTTGTATCCAGGGAATGATCTGGAACTACCAACCTCCTGTCATCCAGGGTTCTCCAGAATGCAAGAGACAGAAAAGCTGTGTTTTCATTTGCTAAGTTAGAAATCCCCTTTGGGAAAGAGACTTTTCAGCTGATGCAATCTCCAGCCCTTTACTCAAAGTTCACTAAGAAAGCCTCTGTTTGATTTACCAGTTTATATAACATAATAAATCCTTAAATAAACTTCTGTCAAGCTGACTCTGCAAGGATGATAGTGCCAGCTGGGTCAAGAGGAGAATGTCATTGGTTACCCTGTGGCAAGCTTTGCATTGCAAGTTTTTAAATGCAGTAAAGCAGCCCCAAATTTCTCTGGTTTGTTGGTAGAAGGTTAGAGTTTTGTCCTGCTTCTGCCTGAAGGAAAGCCTTCTTGATGGCTGACTTGCAAGAGAAACTTTGAGATAATGGAGGTTTGGGAAGAAAGGGTGAGGGGGAAGAATGAAAGGAATGAAGGGACTGGGTACATTTAATCAATTTTAGTAATCGTGGATGGAAGACAAACATAACAGTCTTAGAGCAGTGGAGAAATGTTTTCATTGTGTTTCAAGATAGCTTCCATGTTGAGTTTAAAGGGGGGAAAGGTTCTGCAGGCTTGCATCAGAAGTTGATGATGGGCAATGCCAACACAATAATGGTTGCCATATCACAAAGATGTCTCCTGTCTAAATCTCCAGAGCAATTGTTTCAAATATGTTTCATGTCTTTTTTCAATCAAAATATGTAAAGAGAAGGCAGGATGGATTAAAAAAGCACCCTGTCATGACAAACTTTCCCATCAAAATCCTGCTGTTTCTTTACCTGACATCCAGCTTTCCCCCACACTATTTGCCTGATTCTGATAGGGACAGGGAGGAGTGGATATAACTTAACCTGCTCACCATCTTGTTGCCCCAGTTGCATGTGCCACACACACACACACACTTACCTGGTAGTCACGTAGCTGTTTGCTAGGTTGCAGACACAATTTACATCAGAAGAAAAGGCATGCAGGGAAAGACATCTCTACGTGCAGGCCACCTTGTATCGTATTTACAAGGCTGCTGCTCTTAAATTTCGGGTCAGTCTGTAATAAGGACTCCCTCATCTGTGGCTTGGTCATGGATGAGAGGGCCAACCTGGCATGTATTACTGAGGCTGGCTGGGCCTGGAAGGGTGGGGGGTGCCCTTTCGGAGATATGCCCAGCTGGGTTTTGGGTGTGGCACTAGCCAAGAATCCAGGGCATGGGTGGTGGTGTGGCATCATCTGAGAATCACTTACAGCTTTCAGGGCGCTGCCACGCAGGTCACCGGATGTGAGATCCTGTTCATTAAGTTGGGCTCTAGGGATCAGTTGGGATTGTTGCTATGGTACCAGCCTCCCTGCTGCATAGCAGCCTCCCTGCTTGAGATCCTTGACTCCGTTTCTGGGTTGGTGATGGAGTTTCCCAGACTTATGGTCTTGGGTGACTTCAATCTGCCTTCCCTGGGGGTGGGGTGTGAGGTGGCTCAGGAGTTCATGGCCACCATGATGGCCATGGGCCTATCCCAGGTCACACAGAGCCCGCTATGGGACAGTGCTCACCCACCAGATGCGGTGTTCCTGTCAGAGCAGTGGCTATGGGATCTGCAGTCGGGGGAACGTTTGGTCTTCCCCTCTGTCATGGTCAGATCATGCCCAGATTACTATGGGATTCTCTGGTGCCATTATCCACTGTAGGGAGGCTGGACCCATTAGTTTGGTCCACCTCAGGTGACTGATGGACCCACATGGGTTTGAGAGGGACCTGGGGGTTGTTCCTGTTGGTCTGCTGCACAGTCCATCCAAAGCCCTGGTCACGGCTTGGAATTATGGCCCTGTGTCCTCTGTAATTGACAGGCTCCCCTCTACGTGTTCCCAGGGTCTATTAGATATTCCATCACAAGCGAGTGCTAGAAGAGCATCCATCAGCTGGTTAGCAGATGATCTTAGCATGCTAGAAGATGGTGTGAGGAAACCCTGACTTTGGCTGAGTTCATCACTGGCACCTGGTCTATAGGGATAAAACACTTGATCTATTACATCACATTGGTTGTCTGATAATAGAACTTCATACAATCCTGGAAACTCTGCCTCAACAGATGTTGTGGGATTGCTACTTCTGGCATTCTTGAAAACTGAAGTTCAGCCACTAGAGGACCAGTAGTTGCCCATCCTGAAAAGGCATGAATGTGGCCTGAATTTGGATGAATATACATCTGAAACTTAAATATCTCTTGGTATCAATGACTTCTGTCTCCTGTTTTCGGCATCCAAGTAATATGAAACATGGAATGGATGTAAATGTATGAATATGAATATACCTGGCCCGGTACCATATCTTAACATTGGTGGCCTGCAGGTGACAGATACATTGAAACATGTGGGTCTGTTTGTACAACGCATATCTCATCATTTATGCATGCTGATTTTAAGGAACATTCCTAATTATGATTTATTATTTTTAGGACAGATTTTTGTGTCCATAAGAATGAGCCATGTGACACAGTGGGTAAGTAAACCTACAGATGGATTTCATTTACACTGCTTTGTTTTACTGTATTTACCAGTAAGGAAGACTAGTTTTTCCTCTCCTAGATAATTTTTCTTTAACATGGGGTGGTTGTCTTACATTTGCTGAGAATACAATAAAGAAGAAAGGTTTTTTTTTTTCTAATTCAGTTTTTTTGGAATGGAACAATCATAAATTCATGGTCATGGTTGTCTTCCTTTTCAGTAAATATGGTATGTTAAGAGTTTTTCTGACTAAACATGGAAACCATAACAGTCACTAATTCTACTGCAGATGAAAAATGGATGTAATACATTTGAATGTTCATGTTCATTCTTTTTTCTATGCAGCTGGAACTGCAAAGTGGGTAATGGGTCAGGGAGGGGTGCATGTAGCCCTACTAGCAATATCTCTGTATTTACTGCCTTGTGGCCTGCTCCTGATTTTTGCAGAAATCATACATGTCAGCATCTCTGGCAGTTGCTTAAAACCAAAAGCAATTTTTCCAAGCATGAGTTTCACAAAATATTCTATTGCAAGTTTTACAGTACTGAGATGAAGAGGATGGGGTTCCAAGAATTCCAGCAACTGAACTAATTTCAATTTAGAACCAATATCTCTCATGTATATTTGGGTGGAGTCTTTTTTCACTTTCTTTCTGATGCCCTTCTTGCACTCCTGCAAGGAGATGGGTCTTTTCACTGATAATGGAGAAGCTTGGAGCTATTTACATAAACATTTCTCAAATCTTTATCAGTCTGGGAACCAAGCATTGCTCATGAAAGCTAGAAGGCAGCTTATATATGTGTGTAGGTATGTATGTATGTATGTATGTATGTATGTAT